GGTGTCCAGTAGGGCAGGATTCCCAGGCATAGTGCAGAACAACCCCCTTCTGTTTGCTCCTGGGTGCATCTTTCGATGCTCAAGCCAGCTGCCCTTGTTCTTTCTTCTCCACACTGTGAAGAGTCACCAAACCCCTCCTAGCAAATCTACATAGGGCCCGAATCCCAAATCCCTTTTCTCTCGCAAGAAAAAAAGATTCCAGCTAAGCATTAGGAAAAGGTTCTTATCTCTGTCTTTCAGGAGGGCTTTAGCTGTGTCTTCCTGCATTTGGACGAGATGGTCCTTGGGGTCCCCATCCTTGTGCAAATATTCAAACAATTTGCCAGATCATATACACTTTTTTTAAAAAACCCATAAACTCCAGTAACAATAATGCATATTTTATAGGATATCCATCACAGATAGTGTCTCTCAAAGGTCCACTCGCTCTGCAAAGTAGCAACACAGGACTTGCTGGTAGAAATCTTGCTGCTCAGTGGTGAATGGGGGCAATCTCAAAGCCCTAAATAAAAATGCAAAATAGATGCAAACAAATCATACCAAATCCACTGCAAGTAAATTCTCTTCCACTCCTTCTTGAATCCATACATAAAAATTGCAATACTTAACTCAAAGTACCTCATCATAAAAATAGAGATCCCATCTGATCTTGGAAGCTAACCAGGATCAGGTCTGCTTAGCACTGGGATAGGGAACAACCAAGGAATACTTAGGGCTGGAGGCTATATTTTTGAGGAACGCAATGGCAAACCCCCTATCAAATCCACTTCTTATCCTTTTTCTGCCAAAAAAAAAAATCCATAAAAGTTTCCAGTCATTGAAAAGGGAAACTATTTCCAAACTTTCCAACTCTGCACATATAACAATCTAGCTGCTGTGAGTCATATACTGAAGCCAATGTCCATAACTATTCTGTAGTTGTCCATAATACTCAATAGAAAGGTTCTGTCTATTTGCCTTCAGAATTTTTTGAACTGGAGTTGGTGTTCTTACCCAATTCTTTTATTTTCTTTTCTTTTTTTCTTTCTTTCTCTCTTACAAGTCCCTAAAAAGAAGATCTGATGAAAGCTACCTTACAAGTAGGCAGGGGAGGTGGGAACTTTATTGTTTTAGACTGTATGTATGTTATTGTTGTTCACCGCCCTGATTGGTTCACCATAGGGCGGTATACAAATAAAAATTATTATTATTATTATTATTATTATTATTATTATTATTATTATTATTATTATTATTATGAGACAATGGAGACTCACAGGAAGATGCAAGGAAGATGGCAAATGGCCAGTGAGGAGCCTGCAGGGCGGTGTGAAAGCCTTGGCTTCTCTGACCTCTATTTGCAAAGGTGCTAATAGGTGCTGGAGGGGCAAAGATCAGTGGTTTGAAGGGACTTCCCCACGACTTCCTTTGTGAGCTGAACAAACAGTGAGCTTGAGAGAGAGCAAATCACCCAGATGCAGAAGGAAGGGATCCTCTCCTACCTCCCCAAAGGATACTACATGGAGGAAAGGGGGACTGATAAGGAGAACAGGATAGAGTGCCACACAATTGTGGAGGAAGGATATGACCTGCTGTATTGCTCATCCTCGCAGGCAAGGAAAAGTCATTTCTGTCCTTTTCAACCCACCGTAGGAGAGCACAAAGTCTTCTGTGCATTTCTCAGAAGACATTTGCACCTTGTACATTTCTCAGGAGACAATCACACTTAAGGAGCTGGGGATATTTAGCCTGTTTTCTATTTGGAAATCCCTGGTTTCTTTGTATGCTTTAACTGCACTGCATTTGTTTTACTTTGTAAGCCACTGTGAGTAGTAAGGAGGGTCATGAGGATGTGGATCGCCCACCCTGTGCCTTATTTTAACACACCTTGCCTATTTCTGGCACCAGGGCACCATACCTGACAGCTGGCACCCAAACCAACCCTTGGCTCAGGCATGATGAGAGAGCCCTCTCCTGCACACGTCAGTGTAGGACCTGGTGTGTCCCAATGCCAATGAGGTGTAATGATTTTGAGTGTTCAGCTAGGAATCTGAGAGACCAGAGTTCGAAAACACGCTCAGCCACAGAAACCCAGAAGGTGACCTTGGGCCAGTCACCCTCTCTCAGCCTCAGAGGGAGGTGAGGGCAAACCTCCTAAGAAATCTTGCCAAGAAATCCCTATTGTAGGTCTGCCTTAGGATCACCATAAGCTGGACACAAATTGAAGGCAGACAACATGTGCCAGTGAGGTGCTCTCCAGCACATGCCTTTCCTTATAGTTTCCCTGTTAATGGCATATGAGCAACCCAACTTGACTGTGTCCTGATTCCAAATGAAATGTTTGGATAAACCTGTCCCCAGTTCCATCTCTTATATGATAGTGTAAAGTAGATTGTGCCCCCAGATCCTTATTAGTGGACTTCATGGTTATCTTGCATTATTGACCATTGTGCACAAATGATGCTTGAACTGGAGATTATTGTGGATCCTGAAGAGGACAGTCCAGTGGCAGCTGGTGGTATTGAGGTCAGTGAGCCACTGAAGTCACTGTGGACTTTAGCTTGGATTTTCAAAGAGCAGTTGCACGCAGTGAACCTGTTTAGGGACTAGGTTTCAGTACCTTGGATAGCTCCTTTAACACTAGACTGAAAGCTGGAGTGGCATCACCACTTTGTTGACACTGGAGCACCATTGGAACGGTCCCCAATGCCACCAGTGGTGTAGTGGGAATATTTCTGAAGTGCCAGCATTGATCAGGACCCTCCATCTCTCTCTCTCTCTCTCTCTCACACACACACACACAGCCTAAGGAGAGTCCAAAATAGCAAGCAGCTAAGTTGATCCATATGAACAAACCAGTTCTAGCAATGTTGTGCTCCTCCAGAGCCAGGTATTTTGTTAAGCTAATGGCCCTTAATTGTCCATTCCAGACCAAGCCACCCCTCAAATCCTTTGCAGTAGAAGAGTGAACTCACACATACATCGGTGCTGAGAAAAACAATTCCTACCCCACTCTTAGTGGTAAAGATTGCAGCTAGGAGAACTGGAGGGGCTGGCAGGTAACCACATTGTCTCTGCTCAGCAAAAAGGCCAGGACTTTGCCCCCTGAAAGCTCTGGCTCCACTACCCCATATTTTAGATTGATGGCACTGTGTGAGACAGGGTTAAGCCCAAAAGATGTTACGGTTCTCTTCCTTATTAAGTTCGCTGATGGAATTCTGTTTTGAACTTTTATGCCTATACAGAGCTGGGAATTAGCGGCCAACATCAGCCTAAAAACGACAAGAAATGGCCTGGCAAAATATATCCTCTAGTCCAGCGTCTTTGACTCATCTTTCATACCTTACATCACCATTTATCTGTCAAACAACCTGAGTCCCTCCGTGACAAAAACAATAGGGCCATGAGCCCCAAGAAGGGTCTTTATACATTTACAAGCATTCTGTTATATTTTAGCATTTATGGTATGTTTTAAGGACATTTTAAAAAATTGAAACAAACAAAATGAACAATCCCATTAGTTCTGGAAATGATGGCAATACTGTTGTGGGAAAAGGTTATCACAGGAATTAACTGGGAAGCACACAGAATATAAAGGGGGGGGAAATTGCTCAGGATGATTGGAAATAATTTTTATTGATGTCATTGAAGGGCTTGCATCCCATTGTAGTACATCTGGAGGGCAAGAGCAGGGAAGACAGGGGCTCTCTGCAGTCAGTCAGGGAAGATTTCCAAGTCACAAGAATAACAGCAGTGAACATTAAAAGGCTTTCCCCCCTCCCTGCAACACTGGCTGCTGAAATCCAAAATGTTGGAAAACAGGGGCTGCTGATGTGGCTCTGTGAAGGACTTGCAAGCAAACAGGAGCCCCAGGGCTGGAAACGAGTTCCTCGGTTGCTCTTCTTCCTCCATTCTTGGACTGCCCTCCAGAGTCACTGGTTTTGCACCTTGAAAAACCAAACGGGGATCAACCAGGTCCTGCCCTGGGTTCAAGAGCACATCGTTCAGCAAGTGCCCAAGCATTTTGCATTAGTGGCAGGGCTGCAGAAAGTGGCAGACCCTTGGGAGTCCATCTAGCCTAGAATAGCCAACTCTGACTGGCAGCTAGGGCTCCCGCTCAGAGTTTCCGGCTGGATTCTTTCCCAGATCTCCCTGGGATTCCCTCCTGGTGGCCTCCCACGCAAAGAAGACCCCAGCCGGACCCTTCTTAGCCTTCCTTTCAAAAGCACTCAGCGGCTGGGGTCCTTTCGGTGCAGTACATGGGCTCCGCCAGCAGATGGCGCTCCGAGCCAAAGGAAGGGAGGCCTTTCCCGGGAAAAGCGAGCAAAGCCCCGACGGCGCCGAGGAGGAGGAGGAGCCCGCCTGGCACCCTGGGCATGGGCACCCGGGCAGGAAGGGGCGCTCGCCCTCCGGCGGGAGAAGCCCCCACGTCCTCCTTTCCCCGGACACGTCCTCGCTCAGACCTTGGTGCCGAGGGAGGGCGCCTCGGAGGACTTGGGGGTGTGTCCGCCGCTGAGGGTGGAGGAGGCCGAGGCCGGCCCTTGTCCTCCGAGGGGGGCTCCCTGGCGGCTGGCCGGCCCCCCTCCTGGGCCTCGTCCTCCTGGTCCTCCTGGTCCTCCGGCGCGGGGCAGGCCCAGGAGGCGGCGGCACTGGCCTCGGAAGCGCGGGTCGAAGAAGGCGTAGAGGAAGGGGTTGAGGCAGCTGTTGAGGTAGGCCAGGC